TATTTTACTATATATAAAATAGATTAAAAAAAAAAAACAGGAACCTACTGTATAGCACAAGGAACTATATTCAATATCTTATAATATCCTACAGTGGAGAAGAATCTAAAACAGAATATGTGTGTGTGTGTGTATACGTATCTATATATCTGAATCACTACGGTATATACCTGAAACATTGTAAAATAACAATGCTTCAATTTAGAAATTTTTTTTAAAAAGAGAAAGATACTGGGTGATTACCAAATTCATGTACAGTTAATTCTTCCATGGATTATCTACTTTTTGGATTATTCCCAGCACCTTTTAAATTCCAAGAGGATTTTCCCTAGCTGTTACGCATTCTTCTCAGTCATCTACCCACCTTCAACTGGTAGAAGTTCAAGGAATGCAAATTCATTTTCTATTAGCCTAAATAAACACAATTAGAAAGGAGAAACCCCTGAGGCAAAGAACACCTATCAAAGCCAAATATAAATTATCTTTGACTGTTATAATCAGGGAAATAAATGAGAAACCAATGTAATTATCTTTTTAATCTCTAGGGGGAAAGGTTTGAATGTTTTCTTTTATAGATTTCTTCAGCACTTTATAATCCTAATGTTCTTTTATATTCATTCTAAATCACTGTTCTTCAATCTGAGCCTGTTCTCGTCTTGTGGGCGTCCATGAAAATAATTGAGCTGACCTCAATCCTTCCAAGTGTGCTTCCTGTCCTTGTTAATGTACAAACATGGTAACTTTATGCTTTGCAATTTAATTATTTGCATATCTAATGATTTACCCGTCATGCTTATTATTTTTAACATCACTATGATATTTTATAACAAGGGTCCCCAACCTCGGGGCCACAGACCCGTTGGTACCTCCCATCAGATCAGCAATGGCATTACATTAGAAATAAAGTGCCCAATAAATGTAATACTATGGTTTTTCCAGTTGTCATGTATGGATGTGAGAGTTGAACCATAAAAAAGGCTGAGCGATGAAGAATTGATGCTTTTGAACTGTGGTGTTGGAGAAGACTCTTGAGAGTCCCTTGGACTGTAAGGAGATCCAACCAGTCTATCCTGAAGGAAATTAGTCCTCAATATTCATTGGAAGGACTGATGCTGAATCTGAAACTCCATACTTTGGCCACCCGATGTGAAGAGCCGATTCATTAGAAAAGACTCTGATGCTGGGAAAGATTGAAGGCAGGAGCAGAAGGGGACAACAGAAGACCAGATGGTAGGAAAACATCACTGACTCAATGGACATGAGTTTGAGCCAGCTCCAGGAGATGGCAAAGGACAGGGAAGTCTGGCATGCTGCAGCCCATGGAGTTGCAAAGAGTCAGACATGACTGAGCGACTGAAATACAACAAAATGTAATGTGCTTGAATCACCCCGAAGCCATCCCCTCCCTGCCTGTTCCCCCAGTCCGTGGAAAAATTCTCTTCTATGAAACTGGTCCCTGGTGCCAAAAAGGTTGGGGACCACTGTTTATAATATTAGCTACCGTGACTACAATGAGTCATACACTCTATTAGGAATTTTATACATATTTTCATTTATTTAATCTCCCCAGTAACTCTAAATTTAGATATAATTATTCTCAATGTGTAAATGAAGAAATTAAGAGGTTCTGAATGGCCTCATTCCCAAAGCCCCCATGCATCCTTAATGCCATATTTTCTCTTATCATGTTGCTGAGCTGATTCACTATTGGGAGGCATTTGGGGTTATTTCTGATTTACTGTAGTGCTAATTATATCCCATAAAAATTTTTTCGTAACCCTACTCATCCTCGGTCCCCATGTAGCTCAGTTTCTACAGAGTAGCATGTAGCACTGCCCAAAGTAATTTTAAAGATGAATACCAATTTTCATGTTGTCTCTCAAGGAAAAATCACAGGGGATCCAATTCAGAACTCATAACACTACTTACCAGGTCCCCTTTCTTCATTCCCCAGTTCTCTCACACTGTGTAACTGCAGGAAAGGCAGTTCCAGTCTGAACGGCCACAAGCTCCCTGCAAGCCAAAACCCTGCAGCTCTCCTGTCTCCATATGCCCCCCACTGGCTCTTTGTTTTATAGATCACCGCCACATCGTGGGCTGGTCCTTCCCCTGGCCCTCGCCACTCTGATCTGGCTTCTCTATTCATTCTAATAATCCATCCCCGAAGGAAAGAAGTCTCATTTTATGATAGTTGAAAATATGGACTGTGCAGAAACAGACCAAGAAGAAATCTGAGAACATTCATACATGAATACATTTTATTCATTTTTTTGTAAGTTAAGGTTTCTGATGTGGTTTTTTTTTTTTCATTTTAGAGTCCCCCCTCCCCCTTGAATGATAGCTTCGAAAGTGAGATTCATGAGCATTGAATAGATCAGGTAACAGTGAATAGTTTTTGTTTTATTTAATATTCTTTGTTTTGGCTGCACTGGGTCTTTGTTGCAGCACACAGTCTTTCTTTAGTTGTGGCACGTGGGATCTTAGTTCCCTGAGCAGGTATCAAATCCTAGTCCCTTGCATTGGAAGGCAGATTCTTTTTATTTATTTGTTTATGGCTGAGCTGGGTTGTGGGCTGAGTCTTTATTGCTGTGTGGGGATTTGTCCAGTTGTCGTGAGCATGGGACCACCCCTCTCTACTTGCAGTCTTCCTACTGCAGTGGCCTGTTGCAGGGTGCTTGGGCTTCAGTCGCCGTGGCGTGTGGGCTCAGCAGTTGTGGCTCTCAGGCTTACTCGCCCTGCAGCATGTGGAATCATCCCAGACCAGAGATGGAACCCATGTCCCCTGCACTGGCGGATTCTTAACCACTGGACTACCAAGGAAGTCCCACAGTGAATGGTTTTAATCAAGAAGTACTCTAACTAATTAAAAAAAATAGATCCTATGATTATAAAGAAGTTGACTTGTCATAAGCCTTGTCAAAAATACATTTTTACTTTATATGCCTTTTTAGGTGGTCAATGTGTTTTATGATTACAACTGAACTATTATAAAATTCTGATTACTTTATAATAAGTAGCAAATATCTATCAGTGAAATGCAATAGCATATAAAATACAAGTATCCCCAAACTTCCCTGTTTTCTCTTCTCTGATGGACTAAAGAAGAAAAACAGGTTTAGACTCTGATAACAGCTCCTTCAGCTGGTAGCTGTTCCCATAAGAACCTTTCTTTTGATTTTGGCCAGCTCTCACGTTCTCGTCTTTGGTCAGTCACTAATCTTGGGACTGGTTTGGGGTCGTCACTGGGGAAAATTGTGAAGTAACCCAAGCATTTGTTTGGCATGCCCCAGATTGCTTTGGCATGTACTTTCTGTTTCTGGCACTCTTTTTTTTTTTTTTCCAGGTCCTCCTATCAACTTTTCCTTTCCAATCATATCAATCATTTACATATTAGTAGTACTTTAACTGGAGCCTCCCAGGTGGTGCTAGTGGTAAGGAATCCACCTGCCAATGCGGGAGACCCAAAAGACACAGGTTCAATCCCTGGGTCAGGAAGATCCCTTGGAATAGGAAATGGCACCCCATCCCAGTATTCTTGCCTGGAAAATTGCATGGACAGAGGAGCCTAGCGGGCTCAGCAAAGAGTCAGACAAGAGTGAGTGGCTGAGAACACACACACACACACACACACACACACACACAGAACTTTAACCCTATATACTCCCCCTTCTCAGAGATATTTGCTTGTATTGCCTTACCTGTAATTGTGAACACAAAGGTTTGTTTCTGGTCCTGGAGTTTTAATCACTAGTGAGCTGATATGGAAACTGGGCGGGGGGGAGACTGACTGCCCAGGTATCTTCCCTTCAGGTTGTACGGACAGTCCCTGGCTTAAGATGCTTTGGCTTAGCAACTTTTTGGCTTTACAGTGATGCAAAAGTGATAGACGTTCAGTGGAAACCATACTTAAAACTTTGTATTTGGGGTTTTTTGGAGGGGTGGCTAGCCATGTGCAGTAGGATACTTCTTTTATGGTACTGGGCAGCCAGTGAGCCACAGCTCCAGTCAGCCACTCGGTCACAAGAGCATAGGCCAAATACACTTAAAACCATCAGGACCCAGACAGCATTCTGGCTTTCACGTTCAGTATGCTTATGTACATGCTAGGCTGCGTTGTCGCGTCCGCCTCTGTGCAACCCCATGGACTGCAGCCCACCAGGCTCCTCTGTCTGTGGAAATCTCCAGGCAGTGGGTTGCCATTCCCTTCTCTAGGTGTAGGAGTCAATAAATTACATGAACTAGTCAACACTTTATTATAAAATAGCCTTTCTGGTAGATGATTTTGCCCAACCGTAGGTTCATGTGAGGGCTTCCCTGCTGGCTCAGTGATAAAGAATGCCCCTGTCAATGCAGGAGACTCAGGTTTGTTCCATGGGATCTTCCTGACCCAGCAGGGCATGGCAACCCACTCCAGGATTCTTGCCTGGAGACTCCCATGGACAGAGGAGCCTGGTGGGCAACAGTTCATTGGGTCGCAAAACAGCTGGACATGACTGAGCGACTAAACAGCAACAAGCATCAAGGTTCGTGTACGTGTTCTGAGCACATTAAGGTAGACTGGGCTAAGCTAGGATGTCTGGTAGGTTAAGTGTATTACATGCATTTTTAATTTATGATATTTTCAACTTATGATAGATTAATTGAGATATAGCCCCATCAGAAGTTAAAGAAAATCTGTATTTTACAAGTCTATATATATTCTCAGTTTATGAATATGACCAGCTCCCCAATTTTTCTGTAACTCCAAGTTTTGAGGTCAAGTGCACGTCTCTGTCCACACCAGCCTTGCTTGGGCTCATGCTCACAAATGTGAGAAAGAATAGGTAGGTGGCAAAACGTGGGGTGCACTCACTACAGAAAGAAATGCATGCAATTCGTTAGGAATAAGTTACTAGACTCACTTTCTGTGCAGTTCTTTATCTCTTTCATAATGCGTCTCTGGTGTCAGACTAAACCTGGAGCTTTTTTTTTTTTTTTTGCTTTGCTTTTTTTTTTCCCAGTTTGACAAATGGACGGATACTCAGAGGAGAAGAATCCTGACAGGCTTGTTAGAACGCTGCTCCCTGTCACAGCAAAAGTTCTGCTGTCGAAAGCTTCAGGAGAAAATTCCAGCAGAAGCTCTGGATTTTACTACCAAACTCCCAAGGGTGTTATCTTTATATATCTTTTCCTTCCTGGATCCCCGAAGCCTTTGTCGTTGTGCACAGGTACAGACAAAGAAGCAGTGTTCTGTGTTTTGTAAAGACAGCCTAGAAAATACTGAAACTTGAGGAAAAAAAAGAACGCACGTATACAAAACCAAGAATTGACAAGATGTTCAATATGTTTAGTTTGTACAATTTGAATTAGCCCCCATCTCTTCTGTGTCTGGTTGTGCATTTAGTGCTCAAAGGGGAGAAAAAGTAAGCCATCACTAAGTGTCCATAAAATGGTATTAGCCAGTTGGGGAAATATATACACGTGTATATAATGGATTCATCAGCAGAGGACCATAGTAAAACCTTAAAGTGTAGAGTGCAGGCCATTCATAAATAGAAAAGCGCAAAATAAGGTGCTAATGTGATAAATACAAAAGCATGTGAGACTGAAGAAGTTCAGAGTGGACAAATGTGCTCACAGGTTGGAAAAGTATCTGACCATTATTTTATTACAAGTAATTCCATGGTGTATTCAAGTATATTTTTTAAGATATAAAATTGATAGTAATTTTGTTGATTTCTTTTCATAGTCTAGAAAGACCAGAAATTACCTGTCACTGTGCATTCACATGGTAACTTTAGTTTTTAAAATTAAGAAAATGAAAAAAAATTAAGAAAATGAATGCAGTAAGATAGATGACTTATTTAATAATTGGTGTTGGGACAATCGGGCAGTATCTGGAAAAAAAATTCTAGAAGGATAAAAGATTGATATGAAATTATAGGAAACCATTTCCTACTCAAAGGAGGGAATTCCTTGGTGGTCCAGTGGTTAAGTCTCTGCTCTTTCACTGCTGAGGGCAGAAGTTCAATCCCTGTTTGGGGAACTAAGATCCTGTAAGCCACCAGGCATGACTAAAGGGGAAAAAAAAATGTAGTTAAAGGAAATCTAGGGAAGGAAGACTTTGTGAGTAATTTATAATATTCAGAGCCTCAAAAGAAAATGTATAACTTAAAATCTTGCTTTATTTATTTTATATATATTGTATTTATATTATATATGCTTTATAAATAAAGCAAGATTTTAAGTTGTGATTATAAAAATTAAAATTTTCTCCATAGAGAAGAAAATTGTAAATAAATACAAACAGTAAACAGGAGGGAATTCCCTGGTATCGTGGTTAGGATTCAGTGCTTTTACTGATGAGGGCTCAGATTCCACCCCTGGTTGGGAGGCTAAGAACCTACAAGCTGCTGCAGCGTGGCCAAAAAAAAATTAAAATGAACAGGAAAAAACATTGCCAGCAAAGGAGTAATTTTTTTATTTTTTAAAGAACGACTATAAATCTACATTAAGAAGAAAAAAAACCAAAGCCTAGCAGAAAAATGAGCAAAGGAAGTGAACAAATAGTTCACAGAAAGAAAAGCAGATGTTTCTAAAATAGATAAAATGCTTAGCCTCATTTTCATGTCATCGTTTGTGACTCAGATGGATTGAGTTTCTTTTTTTCTTTTTTTAGTTTCTTTTTTTTTTTTTTTAGTTTCTTTTTTAATGATAATATTTTATATTGTTGGGGTGTGGGGACACAGGCACCTTCATATGTTGGTAGATAAAGTGATGCAAACACCAAGAAGAGCAATTTGGTAGTATTCAATTTTTAAATAGAGATTCCTGGACGTTCCCTGGCGATCCAGTGGTTAGGACTCTGTGCTTTCACTAACAAGGGTGTGAGTTTGACTCCTGGTCAGGGAACTGAGATCCTGCATGCCATGAGACATGGCTAAAAACTTAAAAAATTTTTTAATTAAAAAAAAAATAAGATTACCTTTGGCCAGTAGTTCAACTTCTTGGAATTTGTCAGATGGGTATACTTCAACACAGGCAAAATTTATGTCTATAAAAGAATATTGCATCATTGTTTGTAGTAGCAAAAGGTTGGAAATAATGGAAATGTCTGCTAATAGCAGACTGGTTGCAACTATCTCCGCAATATATCATCAAGAAAAAAAGGTGTAAAATTATCCTACCATTTTGGAAAGAATAAAAGAATGTATCCATATTTGTTAACCTTCTGGAATGGCACACAAGAAGCCAATAACAATGGTTACATTCAGGGAGGGAAATGAGTGGCTAGATGACAAGGATGAGAGAGACTCTTTTTTTTACTTTTTTTACAGTGCGCCCCTTGGTATCTTTGAATTTAGTGTTGATGTACACATGTTACTTATTCTAAAAATGAAACAATTTATTTTTTAAAAAAGCACAGTGTTTTAAATGCCCAGTAATAGAGTATCATTCAGGCATATAATGAATTATTAGGCAGTCATTAGAAAACATGTTTTGGAAGAACAGAGATGCTTATTATATGCAAAATGAAAAAAGCATGATTTTAAATTGCAATGCAGTTTCCCAATTTTGCTTTCATATATACCTGGAAAACAGAAGGGAAAATAACTCTACCAGCTTGTTGATAATGTTTGGTCATCTCAGATTGACAGGGTTCTGGGTATGTTTTTCTTCAAGTTTCTCAGAATTTTCCATGTGTTTCACAGGGAGAATGTTATCATCCCAGGGATATGTGATACGAAACAGCCAATCTTATCATCTCTGTGGACCGTATGTCAATCTTGGTAGATTTCAGCATCGTATTTTACTCCCAGAACTGACTGTGAGGCACTTGTTCTTTAGCTAGATTTAAAGTAAACAATAAAGTCATTGCACCAAGATGAGCTGTGAGCTGTTTAAAAATGTGGTGGGGGTTGTCTTACAGTTTTGAAAGCTCTTACCTACCCTCAACTTTACTCATTCCTATGTAGTTTTAAACAAAAAGCAGCAAAAATAAAAAACAAAGTGAAATTTTATCTATCCCCAGTGTGGGGTGGCAGGGGGGAACCCCAACTTAACTACCCAGGTCTAAACCAGATCTAAGTAAAAAGAGGAAGAGGGTGAGAATTGAGAAGAACTTTCTCCCCATCCCCTCCCTCCCAAACTTCACATCTTGATTGAATTAACTAACCATATGAGGATTGAGGGCAGTGTCGTTTCATTCTGGGTGGCACAAAGTGGTTATCATCTCTATTTCTGCCTGCAGTGTTGTATTAGATCCTCTAAGCCTTTTCCTCCATGAGATCCTGAACCTACTGTTTCTCCAAATTATGCCCCCTTCTGCTTCCCTCTCCCACACATGTCTTATCTTCAGCCCATAAAATAATCCTGGACGTAATAGGAACTCCATACACAATGGATGGAAAGAGAGAGGAAGAGAGACAGATCAATAAACAAATGGATAGGTAGCAAGTTCCATTACAGAGTGTTCTGCTCTTTTGGGGGGCACTCAAACATTATTTATTATTGTGTTAACCTTGAAAAAGAGGCCAATTTTCCAAGGATGAAATGAATGTGAAGATTAGCTGTCATCTCTGCAATTCTTGAAAAGAGACATGGAATGCCTAGTCTCAACTTTATATATGGACTTGACTCTAGTTTCTACTAAGACTTATTTAAAACCTGGAATAAATTATTTTAAACACTACTACACATAATAGGGTCACCGCCACCATTTGCTGGATGTGTAGGATTGACCATAATGCTATGAAAATGGAATGTACAGAATACTTTATTTTTTTAAATTTATTTATTTGGCTGCACCAGGTGTTAGTTGCAGCACGTGGGATCCAGTTCCCTAACCAGGGATCAAACCCTGGCCCCCTGCACTGAAAGCATAGAATCTTAGCCACCAGACCACCAGGGAAGTCCCCAGGATAAATACTTAATGCTCTATTGAATCTAAAAGGCTATTTAGGACATACCAATATAGTATTCATCATTGTGTTCCCTTTATAAAGTTTATATTTAGTTAAATCATAAGAGTGGAGAGAAAACAGAAGCATATCATGAAAAAAATAAGCAATGTGCCAACTGGAGTTTCTGTAGCCTTCATATAACTTTCATATGCAGACTTCCAGAGATCTTTAAGAAGTTCCAAAGTCTTATCTGAAACTTAGTTTCCGCATTTGCAAGGGGAGAATATTAATTATACTGCCCTTCAGGTTGTGATGAGGATGATTAATAGCTTGATAAATATTAGTTGACTTGGATTCTGTCTGAATTAACATTTTTTTTTTTAAAGAAAAAGGGGTACCCAAAGCCAGTGCTCTGTGTGAACCTGGAGGGATGTTCAGGTTGGAGGGGACACATGTATACCTATGGCTAGTTTATGGCAAAACCATCATAATGTTGTAAAGTAATTATCCTCCAATTAAAATAAATAAATAAAATTAAAAAAAAAAATCCTCCTGCCTGGTTAGGAAGCACTTCAGGTAGGAGGTAACTTAGCTGTGATTTGGAGGAAAAGGAACAAAAAGAAACTAGTTGTGAATTCCAGGCCTGGTTTATCTAGTTAAAATTATGTTTACTCTGATTCATTCATGGGCTTCCCCAGTGGCTCAGCGGTAAAGAACCCACCTGCAATGCAGGAAACACAGAGAAGTGGGTTCGATCCCCGGGTCAGGAAGATCCCCTGGAGGAGGGCATGGCAACCCACTCCAGAAAAAAATAAAGTTCTCTAAGTACCAAGGTGATAACTCAAAACCTAGAGAAAGTGGACATGTAAACTGAATAGTTTTTAACTTTGTTTTTCCAGGTGAGCTGGCATTGGAAGAACTTAACTGAACTGGATCAGCTCTGGATGCTAAAATGTTTACGGTTTAACTGGTACATCAATTTCTCCCCAACTCCCTATGAGCAGGGTGTGTGGAAGAAGCATTATATTCAAATGGTGAAAGAACTCCATGTTACCAAGCCCAAGGTAAATTTGGGAAAAGAAGCAACAGAATTACTAATATCAGCTACTTAGGAATTCTAGAACTAAGTTGTGGAAGGCCATTGGTTCAAAAGAAATATAACATGACTACAAAATTCCCTTGTTCTAAGAACTTAACAGCTCTTTTCAAGATACCCATGTTAGTTGAAAGTCATCTGATACTCACAAACCACAGTTCCATCCAGGTTAGGACTTGGAGCTCCTCTTTCTCTCCGGATTCCTTTATTTCTGTGTCTCTTAACACCTACAGAACCCAATTCTGACACTGGGATTCTGTGGGTAATGTGCAGTATTTATTACCTATGGGTCATCAAATTTTACTTAACTAATTCAAATTTTCTGTGATTCTTCCAGGCAAACTGAAGTTTATGTTTCTATCATTTATAAAGAAAAGTTTTGCAATAAATTAGTAATTAGGAAAGGGCATAATAGGCATATTAAAATTCTTTTTACTTTAGAAACTAGCAATGTAAAGTCCCTACATAGAATCGTAAACAGTAAATAATATGAGCATAAATTTTTCTAGTGGTTTTCTATGCATTATAACCAATGTTTATGTTCATTCTTATAGTCACAGTTAATTAGATAACTTATGGGAAATTTTTATGAGCTTTTTCTTTGTGGCATGACCTATATACATGCAGAGTTGTGCATCATTTTGTATAATAGAAGAGTTCCTGAAAATTATGTGTAAATTAAAAATTTTAAATTATTTTTAAAACCACAGGGATTTTTTAATATAGAAAAGCTGCAGTGAGTCCTTTTTGAATTGAAGAATCCTTTTGAAATACGAATAGTTGGTTCTTAACATGCTCATTTACGTTTCATTTTATTGTGTTTACTTGAAGTAGAAACCCTCTACATTTAATACAGTAATAAACTGCATAATTAATACTGTTATGATTAAAATAATAAAAGCAGCCTTTCTGATTTCAATGATAGATGTTCTTCATGAGAATTTCTTTTAAAAAGAAAAATTTTAAATGCAGTGGTGGAAGAGTTATTTTTAAAATTACAATAACTATGACTCCTTTTATCACACGGCTTTCCTTAACTCTCATTCGAAGTCACTCATAGACAGGGAAAGGCTTCAATAGCTGAAGCTTGGGTTATTCTGGGGCAGGGGAGTGAAAAGTGATTAACCAGGTTGTAGAATGAAAAAAGGTTTTGAGTATTGTATGTAATACTGATTTAAATACTTGGTCTTCAACAATAACTCTTTTTCCAGAAACTATTTATGCACTTCCCTGGTGGCTCAGATGGTACAGAATCCACTTGCAATGCAGCAGATGCAGGTTTGTGCCCTGGGTCAGGAAGATCCCCTGGAGAAGAGAATGGCAACCCACTCTAGTATTCTTGCCTGGAGAATCTCCATGGCCGGAGGAGCCTGGTGGGCTACGGTCCATAGGATCATAGAGTTGGACATGACTAAGCAACTAACACACACATGTTTTAGAATAATGAATAGTTCAGATACAAGGAAATTGACACATTGTTGCTTAGTATTCAATTTCCTTAGGGAGTACTTTGTTATAGTAAATTTCAGTTTTTCTACTAAAAAAAAACTGGCAAATTAAACCCAGTAATATATAAAAAAAGAATAATACATGATGACCAAGTGGGATATATCCAAGGAGAGTAAGGTTGGCATAATATTAAAAAATCAGTCCATGTAATTCACAGAATAAAAGAGAAAAGATATATGGTCAATATATGCAAACAAAAGCATTTAAAATTTTTTCAACATTTGCGATTTTAAAAAGTCTCAAAAGACTTTGAGTAAAGGGAACAAATTTTTTGTTTACTTAACAGAAAAGTCATCAGTTTTCATTATTATCTATTTTGTTAAGGGGTCAATATTTTGAACTTTTCAAAATTAATGATGTTTATTTATATATATAGTTACTAGCATTCATGCCTAAATTTTCTCCCCTGAAACTGCTTTTTTATTATCATGTATTCTTTATTACCAGTGGTGTTAAACGAGACCTCTTTCAGCAAAAATAGATTTCATTCAATATGAACTCAGAAAAATGAAGCGAATGTCCATCTTATTTTATTTCTTTTGTTTTTTGGCCACTGCATGTGACTTGGGATCTTAGTTCCCTGACCAGGGATTGAACTCCTGCTCTCGGTAGTGAAAGCGTACAGTCCTAACCACTGGACCACCAGGGAGTTCCTTAAATGTCCATTTTAAGTGAGATCCGCACTGTGCTGTGCTCAGTCATATCCAACTCTTTTCAACCCCATGGACTGTAGCCCACCAGGCTCCTCTGTCCATGGGGGTTCTCCAGGCAAGAGTGGGTTGCCATGCCCTCCTCCAGGATTCGCACAAAACATCAAATACTAATCTAGTAATGAGCCATCAATTATATAAAAGTAAAATGTCTTCTTACTCTGCTACTTATAATCACTCACTAAATAAGTAAATATTTATTAAATACTGTTATGTGCCAGGCGCTAAGAGTACAATGGTCTTAACCCCAATTTCTGGGAGCCTAGTCTATGGCCCAGGACACAGACAAACAGTTACCACATTGAATATGAAGTACTATCTATCCTGTAATAGAAATATGTACAAAGAACAGCTGAAACAAGGATAAGAAACTAACTGATTCTGCTTGGAGGAACTTGGGGAATTTTTAAATTTTCACAAACAGTTTAAGCAAACCAATTTACTGAGCAAAGCTTCCCTAATCTCTTAAAGAACAAAAATTAAGCCTTTAATGGCTTCTCAACATAGCAGTACCTCTTCCCTTAGGCTACAACCACATAAAAACCCTTATGAATTTTATACACACAAAAAAACAGACTTTCATTTTGGGCATTAAAAAATAGACTTTCAAAAAAAAATAGACTTTCATTTCCCAATTCTTTGGAAATGGCTGAAGTTTTGATAATTGATAAAATCTATAGTTTACCCGTACATAATGGAAATTGTCTCTGTGTTTTAGATAGGTATGACAGGGTACTGTTTTTAAGAGTGTATATTTTTATGAACAAATAAACTGCAATTGTGGAATAACTGTATAATGATATGGTAGGTGAGGTGGCAATATAGGATAGACAAGTTCATTGTGTGGGCTTGAAGCTGGACAATCCTGAATTCAAATTCTGACCCTGTGTCTTATTACTTGTGTCTTAATAGTAGTAGTGGAAAATTAATCAGTTTATCCTACCTTCAGTTTTCTCTTCTGTAAAATGGAAGTAGTTACGATTACCTTTTAAAGTTATCATGAAGGTTAAATAAAGTAATGTAGGAACGGGACTTTCCTGGTGGTCCAATGGTTAAGACTCCATGCTTTCAATGTAAAGGGTGCAGGTTTGATCCCTGGTAGGGAGAATTAAGATCCCGCATGCCTCACTGTATAACCCCCCTCAAAAAATAATAATTATGCAGGAATACTTCCTGAGACAGTGCCTGACACATACAAGCACCTCTGGGTTGGTGGCTGCTGTAATCATTGCCACCATTATCACTGCCATCATGGTGATGATGATAATGATGATTTTTTTTTTTAAGAATTCATTTACTTATTCATTTTTGGTTGCAAGGGGTCTTCGTTACTGCCCTTGGGCATTCTCTGGTTGCAGTGAGCAGGGGCTGTTCTCTACCTTCCATGCTCAGGACTCTTATTGCGATGGCGTCTCTTTTTGCAGAGCACAGACTCTAGAGCACTGGCTCAGTGGTTGTGGCACCACGGGCATGTGGAATCTTCCTGGACCAGGGATTGAACCAGTGTCCCCTGCATTGGCAGGCAGGTTCTTAATCACTAGACCACCAGGGAAATCCATGTTCTTTGTCTTACTTTTGTTATTATTATAGTGTTCTGAGGACAGAAATAATTTTCTCCTTCTAGACACCTCCAAAAGATGGGTTTGTGGTCGCGGATGTTCAACCCATTAGAAGCAGTTCTCCAGGGGGAAAGCTGTCTCCTTCATCCGCTTTCCGATCCTCTTCCTCTTTGAGAAAGAAGGTCCACCCAGGGGAGAAAGAACTCCCACCCTGGAGGTCTTCTGACAAGCATCCAACTGATATCATTCGCTTCAATTACCTGGACAACTGTGACCCCATTGAACACAGCTGGCAAGGGTAAGAACTGTGCCCTTCTCCACTTCTTTCCTTTTAGAAACAATTTACCGGCACTTTGGTCTATGAAAAGATGAAAACAGAAGCTACTGTGAAATATAAATGCTTTTCACTGGTGGTGGAGGTTTAGTTACAGAGTCATGTCAGACTCTGTGGAAACCCATGGACTGTAGCCCACCAGGCTCCTCTGTCCATGGGGATTCTCCAGGCAAGCATACTGGAGTGGGTAGCCATTCTCTTCTCCAGCGGATCTTCTCAACCCAGGGATCAAAATTGCATCTCCTGCACTGCAGGTGGATTCTTTACTGCTGAGCTACCAGTGATGCCCCAAGAAGCAAAAAGTGATTGAAAGTAAATGAACCTTTGTTGATAAATTTGACCTTTTCTTTAGGATTTGTTTGCATTTTGTAGCTATAATGTTTTCTTACAGCTTCTTTTAATATTTTTTAAAAATATTTTAATACCTCAGATTCCAATCTAGCACCATAGGGTTCATATAGTCTTTTCTGTCTTTGCGCCTCCCTTCTGTGACATTGAGATATATACATATATTTGATTATATATATACATACATTATTTTGTATGGGCTTTCCTGGTGGCTCAGAACCCACCTGCAATGTAGGAGACCTGGGTTCCATCCCTGGGTTGAGAAGATCCCCTGGAGGAGGGCATGGCAACCCACTCCAGTATTCTTGCCTGCAGAATCCCCGTGGACAGAGGAGTCTGGCGGGCTACAAAAAGAGTTGGACACAACTGAGTGACTAAGCACAGTACAGCATAATTTTGTATAAACAATATATGAAGTATATACACAGAGAATATATTTACTTAACAAATTCTGAAAGTAATTTCTGAATTGCTAACTCATATCATTATCAAAACAAATTTGCTAACTAGAATTCAATGTTCGTTTCTGGTTCATTTTGCCTTTAGCCTGAGGGTATATACTCATAATAATAATAATGTGGATCCATACTTTATCCTATTATATGCAAGCATTTTAAAAAACAAATATTAATGTTAATACAAACAAGATTATTGAAAACAGCTTAAGATGTCTTTGCCTGTGTTTTTGTCCTTAGGATATGTTCTACTAAGGCTATTCAGACAATTGACTGTGTTAAAGTCCCATGAAGTTATTCCTTTGTGTGGGGTAACACCACCAGCTGTTTTTAGATTTTTGGAATTTCTTTTATTTCATGGTTCCAAAGTCAATATACAAAACAAAGTGTATCTGGAGAAGTCTCCAATACTGTTCCATGTTCCTAATTGGATCACAGGGGAATCCTACGGATAGGTAACTATTTTTTAAAAAGTCCTTACATTTAAAAAATCATAAAGGAGAGGAAGTGAGGCAGATAAAAAAACATAAACACATACATGCACCCCTTTCTGAAAGAAATGGTGTCACACAGTGCATACCACTTTATCCCTCTTTCTTTCTTTCTGTAACAATATATCCTGGAGCTCACTCCACAGGTATATAAAGAAATACCCTGGCCTCCTTTTTACAGCCCACACTCCTCCATTGTGTGGATGTGTCAGAGTTTATTCAACCCCTTCTCTATTGATAGACACTTGACTTGTTTCCAGCTGAGTGAAGATAATCTTTTAAACCGCAGGAACAACAAAATCAAATAGACAAACAGCTATGCTAACCACCAAAGCTTTAAAATGATATTTATAATTTCCCCAATGCTCTCCGATTAACAGAAGAAGGAAAAGACATGAAATGACTCCAGCTTTCAACCGACAGTCACGTGATAAGAAAAATAAATCACAGGACAGATCTAAACTAAGAAAAGCACAGTCGCTGGTAAGTATTGCTTACAAAACATTTCTCCCCATAATGTTAATGAAAAATGCTGGATCTCTATAATCCTCTTCTTGAGATTGATTTTTCTAGGGGGGAGCCATCAAGTAACGGTTTAAATTCTGGTCTCTGACACTGACTGGCTAGCTGTGTGACCTTGAAGATACCCTTTATTTAATCTCTCTGAGCCTCAGTCTTTTTAAAAGCTTGGATGGATTAATGTGTGTGAATCTGCTTTGAAAACTATACAATATAAAGGAAGTATTATTATCATTGTTTCTTTCTTCTTCTGTGAGTCCTTTGAGGTCAGAGAGGGGAACCTATAGAAATTTCTCTGTAGAAATTACTTATCTGTAGAATATAAGATCCACTGACCTAAGAAAAAGGTATTGTGCTGTGCTGAGTTGGTCAGTTGTGTCCAACTTTCTGCAGTCCCGGGGACTGTAGTCCACCAGGCTACTCTGTCCACAGAATTTTCCAGGCAAGAATACTGGAATGGATTGCCTTTTTCTATTCCTGGGGATCTTCCTTACCCAGGGATCGAGCCCACCTTCTCTTGCATCTCCTGCATTGGCAGGAGAATTCTTTACCACTGACATCACCTGGGAAGCCCAAGAAAAAGATATTGAATTGGCCAAAAACTTCATTCTGGTTTTTCCTTAACATCTTATGGAAAAACCCAAACTTTTTGGCCAGCCCAATATGCATTCCATAGCTGTTCTGTCACCAGTGGAACATGATGATAAAAGTGCATTCTAAATAACTTCAGAAAAAAAAATGAATTAAGAACTTTTCTTTCCCTAATTAAAAAATAGCTAATTGACAACCTAATAAAAGTCAGTGGTTGTGACTAGGGAGCATTATTATTTCAGAGCAGAATTTCCCAAATTGTGGTTCTGTACCCCCAATGGATCCCTTTCAGCACATATGAGAGTCTTTGGAGCCAAGTAGAAGGGAATAAGGGTGGAATTAAAAGTTTCCATTAGTAGTAAAGATTTAGAAAAAGGCTGCAGATACACACTAAAGGAAAATTAATATAAAATGGATGTCAGTTGGGAGAAGGATAAGTGTGTACTCATGAATAAATCACTTTTATAGCTCTCCTTTAAAGCTTAATTACTTTCTGTTTCAATGCATTTTCAAGTGTTATGTTCCAAAAAGAGAGAGAGAGAGAGATGAGCTTTTTGAAATAGGTTAGTCTATATTCTGAAGAGACAATCTGGTTGGACGGGATGAGACTTATCACAGACATATGTATGGAGGCCCAAGGGAATGAGGAAGCTTAAAATAGAGCAGTAAAATTGTCAGTGAAAACCATTAATTGGGAAAAATAACTATGAGGTTTATCACCCGAGACATTCAGGCATGTGGCTGCCTAGTTGCTGGCCCCTCCTCAGCCAGAAGTAGAAGAGAAATCTGGGGGAGAACAGGGAATTTGCAGGAAGATAAAAGTTGGTGACGCCTGCTTACAAACTATGAGCACAATCAGACATTTCTCTGGCTTAAAAAACAAAACAAAAATCAAAGGCTAAACAGAAACCCTCCCTCTGGGTTTTTGACATTCACCATCTGTCACCCTCTAGCAGGGCTTGCTTAAGTTAAAATAGTCATAAATTAAAGACTTCAAAAGTTGTGCTCATTCAAGCTGAAAGGGAAACCAGAGCAAAGTAAACAAGGATGGAACACCCTTAAGCTATGAGTAGGTGAAGCGGGCGATTATGTGGATCTACTTGTGTGTGTTATTTGATCAGTCATGTCTGACTCTTTGTGACCCTGTGGACTGTAGCCCGCCAGGCTTCTCTGTCCATGGAATTCTCCAGGCAAGAATATTGGAGTGGGTTGCCATTTCCTCCTCCAGGGGATCTTCCCGACCCAAGGATTGAACCTGGGTCTCCTGCATTGCAGGTGGGCTCTTTACCATCTGAGCCACGAGGGAAGCATACTTGTGTGGTTTCTGTAAATATGCTAATTAGAATCACTATTTCTGCTTAATTATGATAAGGAGCGCTGAGGCATAATTAAACCCTCCAAAAGTGAGCTGCGATGTTTGACTCCACATTGGTGTCTGTGATGTGTGTGCATGTTCAGTCTTGTCTGACTCTTTGTGACCGCATGGACTGTAGCCTGCCAGGGTCCTCCTTTCCAGGGGATTTTCCAGACAAGAATACTGGGGTGGGTTGCCATTTCCTACTCCAGGAGATCTTTCAGGCCCAGGGATCGAACCTGAGTCTACTGTGTCTCCTGCATGGGCAGGCAGAGTCTTTACCACTGTGCCAATGGGGAAGCCTTGTGGCTATTCAGGCCACAGGCTGCAGCTGGCTAAGGCCCTCCCTGCACTGTGCCAGTTGCCCCAGCGTCCACCACATCCCTCCCTTGCAGGAAAGGAGCGGCCTCCTCCATGAGGCAAGGTGATTGTGAAAATGAAATACTAGCTATGGGGCCTGAGAGGAGAGGAACTGGGTCTTGAGGAAATTCATTTAGAGGACATAAAGAAAGTAAGGAGTAAATAAAATCTGACAACAGAGTGGATAATGAAGGACCTACTGTATAGCACAGGGAACTCTGCTTAATGTTGTGTGGCAGCCTGGATGGGAGAGGGGTTTGGGGGAGAATGGATACATGTGTATGTATGTCTGAGTCCCTCTGCTGTCCACCTGAGGCCATCACAGCATTGTTAATCGGCTATATTCCAGTGTCAAATAAAAAGCTGAAAACGAAACAGAAACGACAAGTGCAGCTGTGGAGAGAGTGTGGTAGACACAGCCCAGGTGTGATTAAAGTGGAGAAAATCACATATTCATTAGATGGAAAGTTCTTGCGTCATTTAGACAGGTTTATCTAGGAAGATTCAGGAGGAACTAGAGAAACAGGTGAGCAGGAAAAACTTAGGGGAACACCTTACAAAGCCAGGATGAGGAGGATAGATCACCAACGCCCAGGGAGGACCTAAGGCCTGAACAGTGGCGGGCTCCCTGTCCTTGAAGTGGAAAAGGGGTGTGTGATACTAGGAGAAGCTAAAGCTTTGTGAAATGGAGGGGTTAGAAGAAAAACAGCACGGTGTGAACTACAAAGAATATTCCTTTGAATATCCCCAAACTTTTTGGCACCAGGGACCAGTTTCATGAAAGAGAATTTTTTCCATGAATTGGGGAAGGGGGAATGGTTTCAGGATGATTCAAGTGCATTACATTTATTGTGCACTTTATTTCTATTATCATTACATCAGCTCCACCTCAGATCATCAGATATTAGATCCCGGAGGTTAGGGACCCCCTCTCGGCTATCTCTCGAGGGCATGGCTATCAGGTCACTGAGGCATCTTCACTGTTTACCTGTCATTACTGAGAGCCTTCAAATATTAGAGTTCTCCCCCTAAACAGAAACATTCTCAAGGAAACAGTTTCAAATCTGTGTATATTGCTGTGAGTTGGTGATGTTTTCTACTATTATTAGGTTTGAGTTTCAAGGGTACCTGATTCCCCTTTTAATTCTAGCACTGCCTCATCATAGCTGCTTCATTGAACCACCTTTTGGTGTGAATCACTGATAGAAGCTAGGCTTCCCATGTGGCTCAGTGGTAAAGAATCCACCTGACAATACTGGAGATACAGGTTTGATCCCTGGGTTGGGAAGATTCCTCTGCGAGAAGAAATGACAACCCACTCCAATATTCTTGCCTGGGAAAATCCTATGGACAGAGGAGCCTGGCAGGCTACAGTCTTTGGGGTCCCAAAGAGTTGGATAACGACTGAGCAAATCTCTATCTATTTGATCACCAATGCTTTATCATTTTGAAGGTGATTTATTAAAATTATATAAACATCAAGGTATGTTCATTACCATTAGTTTTTTGTTGTGGTGGTTGTTTTGCTTTTTGGCCACAGCACATGGCATGTGGGATCTTAATTCCCTGACCAGGGATTGAACCTGTGACCCCTTGCATTGGACGCTCAGAATCTTAACCACTGGACCATTAAGGAAGTCCCATCATTAGTTATTATAATAAAGTTCCAGACAGAACAAAGTCATGAAAAAATAGAAGCACCACAAGACAGCCAGGTGGCATCTTAAACCTCAGAGATTTTCCCATCTTGAGTAAAGACATGAAAAAAATAATTTTTAAAAATCTTAACAGCTGGCCCCACGATTCCTTTTTGGGAAGAGGAAGGAGGGAGCTGTCTCCTTGGGGGAAAGCCACAGAGGAGCAAATGCTACAGGCACCTGGACGCCAGGGGAGGGAAAACCTGCCAGGCTGGAGATTAGAAGATAAGTTTCTTGTTTCTGCTCCTGCAAGATGAGGGAAGGGGGACAGAGGGCGGAAAGGAAAGAAATAAGACCAGGAAAGAAAAGCCAGCCGGACGGAGAGAAGCTGAGCCCGGGCAGGGGATAATGACACATCAGTGTTAGATGGCAACCCAGCCATTCCCAATCAAATTTGTTCCCTATTACTGGGATGTAAAGCCTGCCTTCCATCTCTTTAGGAAATTGTACTCAATTTATACATGGAAGCAAGATCTCAGTAGTCTAGAAACCAAGAAAGCCCTTCAGGACTATTTATAAAAACCAAGGTGGGGAGGGCGGGACTTCCCTGGCAGTCCAGTGGTTAAGACTTCACGCTTCCAGGGGGGAAGGTTTGATCCTTGGTAAGGGAACTAAGATCCCACACACTGAGCTTGGCCAAGGAGGGGAAAAAAATGCTATCCTTAAACATAAAACCAAGAGGGGTGGGCTTTGGGCTTCCCAGGACTGGAATTGGGACCCAGCTGAGCTGACATCTTGTTTTTTTGTCTGTTTTTTGTTTTTCCTTTTTCCTACCAAATTAAGTATAAAAACAAATACCTTTTTGTCTCATGCTCAGCTTTTTTCCTTGAAGGTTAGAAGTCCTCACTTTTCAGGTTTTGATTTAGCCAAGGATTCAAAAAGCTTTCTGTTTGCAGTGTTCAGCTACATACAAGTAACAAAAGCTGCTAATTGACTGCTTACTCTAATTGCTTTAGATAAGA